ACGATTCAACCTACGGGGGGTTGAAAACATTGTCATAAAGACACTTCAATGAAAAGCTGGTTCAGGCCTTCACCTGCATTTTTATAGCAGTGAGGTTGACTTGTGTGTACATGTGGGCTTCTATGATCCGAGTAATGAGAGAGGAGACCGGAGGATATGTATGTTTAACAGTACAAACTATAAACGTGCAGTAATCTATATATACGGAACAAGAGAACACATTCAGTTCTTCTTTGGTGATGGTGGGAAGGGGGGATGAACTTTTCTGGTTGTGCTTGGATGAAGTTTCAGGACAAATCTTGAGAAGGCATCATCAATGTTCAACTTAGTCCAACCTATTATTATGGGTATGACCTATGACTTATGGTTTACTTTTAAGCCTATAATTTAGATGGAAAATCACTGAACATGCTGGATATCCATTTGAGGAGTCCCACATGGATGACGTAGATGATCACAACAATGTCTAGATTTCTATATTAATTGTTTAATTCATTGAATGGATCTCTTAAAGAAAAGCTTGTGAAATTCTTACCTTCAAGTAAAATCAAAACCAAAATCCTACCAGAAAAAATGAAAAAAAAAAATCAAAACCAAACCCCAAAATAAATTTCCCTGTGTCAAGTGTGGAGCCCTCAACTTTCTATTTCTCTCTTGTTTTCTGTGAACATGTGCTTTTCCATTACACAATTAGGGGTGTTCTGCACTTATGAAAATTGGGGTGCACTCAAATTACTCCACAAGTTGTCAAATTTCAGTATATATCCGTGTTTTCAAAATCAGACCGGAAAAACCAGGAACCAGTTAGGTGGCTGATTCTGTTTTTCCCTAAAACCAGATATTTGCAAAAAACATTGATTTGGTCAGTAAATCGCTGACACAGGTGATTGAACCATTTCGAATCATTTAAATCATTCAACGGTTTTAATTATTATTTATTTATTTATTATTTTTTTGTCAGAACAGGCCAATCGTTCAGTTCAAACAGTTAGACCGTTCGACTCGGAAACTGGACCCCTGGCCGATGCGATCTCCAAGTCAGTTTTAAAAACCTTGATATATATAAAAGGCATTATTCTCTTGAGTGAAAGTCTCCAATTAATAGAAGTTGTAAGATTATAACTAGAACTAGGCAAGTTGGGGATGGATTATTCTCACTAATTTCTTGTAATTAAGAAGTGAAAAAAGTTCAAGTTTAAAAGTATATACTAATGCTTAGCATTGCAAAACAACTGTTTGTTTCCTGAAGAATTTTATTACTAAAAATAATATATGCAGATACAAACACATGTATAATCAATATCTGACCTCGATCCGATTATGGGCAATAGAATGTCAAAATTAACTTAAATGAATTAGATTTTGAATTGGATTAAATCCAATCCATTTTCAGCCCTATAAATAAATTAAAAACAGAGAAACATGTTTTTCTTCCCAAATATATAATGCAATTATTCTCAAAGTTTAGAGATAAGAGAATCTTTGACAACCTTATTTACTACAATTTAAGAGAGATTTTTCCCTTTTTTTTGCTAATGGACTTCCAAAGCATGTAGACTCCAGCTCAGTGCCTCTTTGACTTTGATAGTTTGATTTTGGAACAACGAAAATGAAAACAAAGAATAATGGGAACTCATCAGATTGAAATTAAAAACTTATAAGTCAAATTAAGTAATAAAAAATAAACAAAGTCAATCTATTTGAGAGCTGAGGTCCATGTGCAAAAACATCATATATGGGTTATTTTTGTTCCCATGTCAGAGTGCAAATGGTATGTTCAACGCACAACAGCATCCTCAATTTTTTTTTTCTTTGCAGATCCTTCATTATGCATGCTAAAACGACGAAAGATACATGAACCATTTGAACCTTCTCAAATATTGTGCAAAGAGAAATAAACAGTAAGCATTAGTGTTTTTGAACTGCCATTGACCTGGACAGTCGGATTATTTGGTCCGAGAATCGTTCAGGCAATTGATTCCGTTATACCTTAAACTTATTCTTTGGCAAAAAATTGTTGAATTAATTAGCAATTTATTGATTTGGGCGATCAAACTATTGACCCGTTTAATGGTTTTGACCATTTTTATTTTTTAAATTGAAATGGGCCATCCATTCAAAATTCGAACTGAATGAACAAATCATAAATCCAAAAACTGATAACCAAAATGGTTCCAATTCTAGATCGATTTTTAAAACCTTCTTAAGCACAAAGACTTTCAAAAGAAGTGCTTTTGTATTGTTATAATGAAAACGAACATGAAATAACACTAATTAGTTATAATCTATCCCAAGAGAAACGTATACTACTTTTCATTTAAAAGAAGGCTTAAAAAACTTCAAATACAACAAAATATTGAAATTTGCAAATAGAAAAAGAACTTCAACTCTGTACACAATATAAAATGCAGAAAACCAAGTCCATGAGAGAATTTAAAAAACAAAGCCCATATCTCATCATAAAATGCTAAATAGTACTAACAATCAGACAATAAGTACATCATCAGTTCCAGCAATTAAGAGGCCATTAACTAATAATAATAGGCCAGTGAGGGGTTCGGTTCCTGGGTCAAACGGTCTGACCGTTTGAATCAAATGGATGGTTCATTTTAACAAAAAAAATAAAAATAAATAAAAACAATCAAAACCATTAGACGATTCAACCATCTGGATCAGCAGTTTGTTGACCAAATTAACGTTTTTTTTGACAAAATAACAGTTCTGGGGTAAAACAGAACAAATCACTGATTCATTTTCGGTTTTTCCAATCCAACCATCCGGTCTGATCCGGTTTTGAAAACCTTAATCTTAACAACCATCCGAAAAATGAAAACCTAAATCAGTGAAACCACTCTCTGTAAAGACATTAAGACAGTCATCTATTTGCCTGGCCAAATAACTAATTATTAAGGGAGAATGCCTGCTTTATAGTTGAAGTAATGTGAACTTACTTGGTGCCAAAAGCCAGAAAGTACCCTCTCTCCCTTTCCAAGAAAGCCGATTGCTTTGCATCCTTCCCCTTTTATCATCATTTAAGGCTTCAAAGATTGACGTTTGAAGGATCAAAGGGAATCACATTATAAGGATGCAGAACCCAAGACAATTATCCAAACAAGAGACAGTAAAAAAACTAGGCAGTTGAAGTGCCTTTCCTAGAAATTCCTATCACAAATTTGTACTTCGGTTTTGAGAGGAAAATTATTTAATGAAGTAGAAGATGGGCATTTCATATTTAGTGTCAGTTGGACGATTTTTTTTTTTAATTGTGCATAACAAAGATTTGTAAACTCAACTGGGTGTCCGACCGTTAATTGGGATTTGTAGTGAATGGTTTTTGAATTCAGTTGTCCGGTATGAATCATCAAAACATTTAAAATAAATTTATTTTACGCATTTCAAAAATTCAAGGTATAATTAATAAAGCACATAGTGAATGGTTTTCCGATATTTCTTTTTCTACCTACATATCCTGCACTTCCATTCCGTCTATGACAGGAAGAGAAGAAGATGATGACGATTTTACTGCCGGTCACTGATCATCGGTCTCCCAACTTGGTTGTCAGAGCAATTCCTTTAAATTCTTGTTAACTTAATAAGGTGGTGTGCTCATTTGTCATTCGCAGGTGCACGCTTCCTGTGAATCCGAGGGTCCACAGAATTCGAGCTCGTCCATTGACTCTATTTCTCCTATTTCTTTGGTTCAGATGGGAATTGGATTTGGAATCCGAATCAGCTGAACTGGAATTTCATTTGAAGAAATAACCATTGTGTCAAATGGAGGAATGCCATTTTGCCAATAATGAGAATGAGATTCCAATTCTGTTCAACCAAATGGTTGGATCATTTTGATTCCAATTTCAGACCTGTTTCTATGAGCCAAACGGATCCTAAGATGAATCAACCCATATGCCTTAGTAAGCGTATAACATCAAGTTAAATAGGGGGTACATCACTGAACCAGACTAGTCTCAAGTGATGTTCTAGTCATTAATCAATGCATTTATCCTTAAGTTATATTATATTTCATAAACTAATCCAGCGAAGGCAACAAATTTAGAACTATCATTATTTTATTTTATTATTATTTTTTAATTCAAGCAAACTATGCATTCGGGCCAATTTGAATTCAGGTCGTTTCTTCGATTCGTGGCACTTATTTTCCCATATACAAACTTTGGAATTGGGATTTCGGCCGGCCAATTGGCACTCTCACGCCTCCCCAATCAACATTCACTCGATCCAAAGTCTAAAATGCAACCAACTGCTACTTCTACACTCAATGACTCAACGGCACATGACTTAAGCCGTAAGATTAGTGTTAAATGTTTTCTTTTACAAAAACCATTAATGGCCTATTTGGTTTACAGTTGGAATTGGAATTGGGGTTGGAATGAAATTTTTAGAATTAGAATCGGAATGGTCCATTCCATAATTTATTTGCTTCAGATGGGAATGGAAATGAGAACTGAAATCGACAGGAATAGGATTTCATTTCCAAAGGAGGGGCCAAAGAATGGCCATTCCCTCAAATGTGTATTCCGATTCCGCCCAACCAAACCAAACAATTGGAATCACCCATTTCGATTCCCGACCCCTATTCCGGCGAACCAAATGGGGCCTAAGCGATGAAGAATGAATATTGGCTTTGTCTTTCCATTGGAGTAGAACTGGGGCAATATGGCCCTAAACAATCTGTATTTCTCAACTACTCTTTCAAGCTTCAACCACTTTTCTGACCCCGGCGTTCACCATAGCTAATATTAATTTAACCTCTATAACTGCTGAATCCGTTTCTTACACTACAAGATTTAACCATCAAAATTAAAGGGAGAACTGCTTACCCACCCTTTATCAAGTTCATGGCCGTGACTCTGAACCCCACTTCAGCTTCAGTATGGATTGCTTTGTGTTTTGGCTACCTGATCAATCTCCATTGCTTTTAAAAAGGATCCCAAATGGGTATAGATTCTCATCAACCTAAACTGCTAAACAACCTTGCTTGTTCATCAATCTGAAGTCTGAAACCAGCTCAAACCAACCCCCCCAAATAGTCTTTAGCTGTTTAAACTTTAGGATTATGGCAAGAGTCATGAACTCTCTTATGTCATCGGTTTTCTTCATTCCCTTGCTATTAACATCAATTGATGCAGATATCAACGTTGCAGATTTCGGGGCCAAGGCAGATGGGAAGACAGATGCGAGCGAGGCATTTCTTGCAGCATGGGCTGCTGCTTGCAGCTCCACAAAGCCAACAACCATTTATCTACCAGCCAAGAAATACTTCCTTGGTCCAGTCGTTTTCCGTGGACCATGCAACAATTCTCGGATTACTCTTCAGATGGATGCAATCCTGGTAGCTCCAGATTATCAAGAGATGGCATCTTCTGAAAACTGGATCATGTTCGATGTCGTCGATGGGTTGTCTGTCATCGGAGGATATCTCGACGGCAGAGGCTCAAGCTTTTGGAAGTGCAAAGGCGTCTCCAATAATTGCTCTGCTGGTTCGACGGTGAGTTTACGCCTGTACCATCTGTTTCACTGCACAAGTGTTTAATTAATAACGAGCTAATGAATGCAGAGAATTCGTTCATGTCTGCAGTCACTCGCCATCTACAGTTCGAAAAATATAGTAGTTCAGAATTTGACGTCGATCAACTCCAAACTAGGACACATTCTTGTCCACACTTGCCGGGATGTAGTGTTGCAAGGAGTTCGGATTCGTGCTCCAGACCAAAGCCCACACACAGACGGCATACATGTGCAAAACTCCATTAATGTCAGCATACTCAACGCAGGTATCAAGACTGGTGATGACTGTATCTCCATCGGCCAGGGAACGACGAACTTGTGGATTGAACGTGTTGCCTGTGGGCCTGGACATGGGATAAGGTGAAGAACAGAGGCTTGTATACATCATTTTGCAGAGATAATTTGGCTAGAATATTAAGAACCCCACTAGTCTTGTAGTAGTAGTAGTAGTAGTAATGATTTAGGAGTTGGTCTCCAATATGAATTGTTTTCTCTTGTTGTATGTGATCGGTTTCAAAAAACAACTAAAAAATTTAAACCATCTTGTTTGAAATAAAAATTGGTTTCTAAAACAAAACACAGAAAATTTACATATTCTTGTATTTCTGGTCTAAATAACATGTTTTCATCTGGTGATTGATATCATGCTTCATAGATCACATTTGTTTTAGAAACCATTTTGATGGATTTACAAACATGGGTTTCTTTTATTTTTTGAAATAAAAGTAATTTGTTTTTGCTTCTAAAAGCAAAAATATAGTTCAAGAACATTTTCAATTTTTGTTTTGCTGATATGGTGATTTTGAAAACATGCATACAACTGAAAAGACAAAAACATTCATGTTCTTGTAATGGACTGTTTGTGAATATTGTTGCAGCATAGGAAGTTTGGCCAAGGACCTGGAAGAAGAAGGTGTAGAGAACGTTGTAGTGCAGAGTGTGGTTTTCACTGGAACTCAAAATGGAGTAAGGATCAAATCTTGGGGAAGGCCCAGTAATGGGTATGTGAAAGGAGTGGTGTTCAAGAAAGTTTTGATGAAAAACGTCAACAATCCAATTGTTATCGATCAAAACTACTGCCCACGTAATGAGAACTGTCCTTACCAGGTAAACAAAATCAACTGTGCTTCTCATTTCTGTGTCAGCAACCTGTTTTTTTTCAATTACAACCTTAGGATGTGATTGACATGCTTTCAAAGAATTAATTTGGATGAATTTTTTGATTTTAAGAATCATTTTTTTTTAAGTTTTGATGTAAGAAAATCATTGTAATTTTTTTTTTTTTTGAGAGGGGGATTCAAATTTCATTTTAAGGCCTCGTTTTTTGGATTTTGAGTTGGGGGAAAGTTGGTTGGGATTTTGTTTCCCATTAAGCAAGATATCCATGTTCTCTTTTCAGATTTATATAGGATTCATGGAAAATTCATTTTCTACGGGCAAGTGATACCCATCTCCCAGGTGAATATAAATAATTTTTCCACCTGTAGAGGGGTAAGTTGACAACACTTGGATGAGATAAAATTGCCCCTTTTAATAATGACCTTTTATGGCTAAAACGGTCATTGATTCATTTACTTGAAAAATAAAAAAACATATATAAATGCACTTATCGGGATAAATTTTCTTAAAAAATACTTACCTGGATAAATAAATTTCCAAAAGCGAACATGACAAAAAAGTAAGAAGTGATTTCAGAAAAGAATTTTTTTTTTCCTTTTTTTGGCTCAAGATTCATTCTTCAGATAACGAGTATTTAGAAGAGAAGTTTAACCAAACAAAGCCTGAGTCACCACATTGTCTAAATCTTGTTGCAACCACACGGTCTGCAGGACTCTGGTGTAGAGGTAAATGGAGTCTCATACATAGATATTGAGGGAACATCGGCTACTCAAGTTGCACTGAACTTCGACTGCAGTCCAACATCTCCATGCAAAGAGATCAGCTTACAAGATATTAATCTCACTTACCAGAATAAGCCGGCACAGTCCTCCTGTCAGAATGCATTTGGAGTAGCTCGTGGTCAGATCGTCCCACCAAGCTGTTTATTAAAGTAACTTTTGTTTCCAAACCAATACAAATTAATTAATTTTTTTTCATTAATTAATTAGGGGAAAATGTTAGGTCACGTGCAATTGTTTGCTTGATGTCAACAACTGTTAAAGAAAAGTATATCAAATTATTTCATTATTTTATTGGTTTTGACTTTACTTGGCTGATAATTAACAGTCAGAGACAGAGCTACTTACCATTTTATATCAGGGTTTTAACCGTTTAGTTCACCCCTAGGGTGTAGCTAAGATTTTAGGGGTGGATTGAATCTTGACTGAAGATTCACGGTCAGGATGTGGTTTATAGGGACTATTAGTAGATTAAGAGGTGACTGTAATTTTAGATTTCTGAGGGGGAGTATGGTTTATTTATTTCTTTATATTATTGATTCATATACGTGATTATTATGCACAGTTTGGAATAGGAGTGGGGTCATCCTAGCATGGTTTTTGAACCATCGTTGATCCAGATGGTCAGACCATTCGGCCTGGAAATCGTTCAGGCAACCGGTTTTGTTTTACTCCAAACCTGGTCCCTGGCAAAAAAACTGTTGGATCAATTAATGACCCGTTAATCTGGGCAGTTGAATCATCGATCTGTCTACCCGTTCAACGGTTTTTGTCATTTTTTATTTTTAATTATTTTTTTAATTTTTTTGTTAGAACGGGCCATCCGTTCGAACCGAACGGTTAAACTGTCGACCCAAAAACTGGTGGCCAAAATGGTTCCATATCCAGGTCGCTTTTTAAAACCATGCATCCCAATTTGGGGAGGGGGGGGATAGACAATTATTTCCTTTTGGTCGTGAAGTGAAATTTTGAGGGGCTTATAGCAATGTTGTCTATGCTTTTGAATATTAGAAGGTGATTAACCGGTATTTGGATGTTGCATTGGCATTGTCCTCACAGCCTTTGCAGGTATTTAGTGGGTGTTTGGCATCGGTGCTGTTTTTTGCGCCGATGTAGGTGCTACATCAGAAAAAACGATGCTTTAGAAAATGACCTCTTATTTGATATTGTTTTTCCATAAAAAAATGTTACTTCAGACCACGCCTTGAAAATCGGAAAAGTGTGGTCTGAAGCAATGCCAAATTTGATGTTTTTATAGAAAACAGTTTGTTGCTGCCAATGGTGCAATGATGTGGCATCATCTTGGATGTTAGATAATATGACCAATGATGAAAACAGTTCTACAGCACTGGTACCAAATAAAATCAGTGTTGTTTTCCCAGAAAACAGCCTATGTAACAGCACCRCTTTCAAACAAAAACTTACAACTCACACATGCCCAACACCACTTTTATGAGAAAATGGTGTGGTGTTCCCAACACTGATGCCAAACACCTACTTAGAATATCTCCCAATAAAAAGTTGCAAAGGCTGTGAGGATGAATTTTGTGAAGACAAACCTTATAATTGATTCCACAG